ATTCTTGATAAGTTTACTAAGAGTCATCGAGGAACAGAGCCTGATAAAATACCAGTTCTGAAAGAATCAACTGCTCAGTATTTTGGTTCTGCTAGAGTTTATCAAGTGGCAGTTTATTCCTTTTTTAGTCAACGAACACCTGACCAACAAAATTAAGAGAATTATTGGTCAAATAGAAATTTTGCGAAAAAAAAGTAAATAAAAGGAACTGTACCAGAAGTCTGAATACTAATTTGTGAATTTTTAGAGTATTTGTAGGCAGTGAAGACAAGTTTTGATTGTGTGGTAATAAAAGAAAGTAGCCAAGTAAAATAAAGTTCTAATTGCAAAACGCAAATTTGTTTTTTGAAACAAGTTTTGTTGTTACGTCGCTGTTACTATTCACAGGTAATTATAAGATTTTTTTTCCGACAAGCAAGATACAAAAGTTGTTGCCACTATAATTCGCTGAAAGTTATTGCTACAGATAAATCGGTTTTTTAATCCCAAAATTACTAGCGTAGAAGTTGTTGTTTGCGATGGCACATAATTTCTTAGAAAATATCAACTGCACCACTTCAAGAAAAATCGTTGACATCTTTTTGAAATTTAAATTTAAAAAAAAGGCATTCTTCAAATTTTAGTACTTTTTTTCTTAGCAGTACCCAACTGATAATAGTCTATTTTAAAAGAATTTGTTATCAAAGTTTACAGTAAAATTTTGTTTCAGAAACTGAAAGACTGCTTTGTCTTCTAAATCAAAACAATAACAAAAAAAGCAAGAAATTTTATGAGGACTTGGCAAATATATTATTCAGAATTGTTGCTTTCAAATTTGCCTACCATTGAACAGAAAATTTTTTGTCAAATCTAAGGGGCCCTCTGACTACTTTCGCGAAAGTTTGCATCGGTTAACTTATGCCATATTCACGTCAACGTAATGTTTGTCTTTAAACAGTTCAGCGCCTGTTGTGCCTTACGTATACATTCAGTTTCAAACACGAAACCAAAAAACTTTGAGTATCAGTTGTGATACAATAAATATGGGACTGCACAAGCATACAATGACAGAAAACCGAGGATTTCAGACGTAACCGTCAACTTGAATCTACACAGTTAAGCCATTTGAGCAGAAAATGTTATAAAGAAAAGAAAATCAGCACAAGCGGTACTCTTCTTGATTTGTCTTAAAGCTAGAAAAAAAAACGACCTGTTGCTCCATTCCAGATAATAATAAGTTTTTGTAACAGAACCTGTAGCCCGGCGTCATCACCATTGTGAGACGCACTTGCCTAGACTTGGTCTTGTATAGTTTCTAGACTTTCAAAAGCAGATGCAAGCAAATTTACAGTCTGTTTGGCTTATATCATTTTTACGCGAAACAGTGAATGTTTTGAAACGCTCTTAAGAATGGCGAAATAAATGAAGGTTTTATTTAGTTATCCTGGCTTTACAGCGACAGTATCAAGAAAAATATTCAGTGAACTTCTTTAGTTTAGAATTTAAAAAAAAAAAAAAAAGAAATGGTCGTTTTTTTACGTGATTATTCTCAACTCCCGTAGAAGACAACCACTTAAATCTTCAGTTTTAGAGATCTAAGTTGAAGAAGTTTACTAACTTTTATTGTCTGCTGAAAAACCCATCGTCGCCTCTGCCCGGCAATGAAATACACGTCACATACACTGAGTCTACGCAAAAAATCTTTTGACACGTTCGCTCTATCAAAAAATTTAGAAATCTTACTGAATAGCTAGAAAATTCAAATTTTTTCTCGCACAGAAATGAGATTTAAAATCCCCAAAGAAATTTTGTAGCGGCTTGTGCAATCTTTCAAAAATCAAACTCCTTTGTCGAAAGAGCGAGATCCTAAAAACTACTGCACCTTAGAGACCGAAACACTCACCATATTTCATAAATTACCGTTTGAGGACAAGAATGACCACTGGTAGTTCTTACATCCTTTCTTAGACATTTTGTACCACAATGAAAATTTTCAACTTTTTTTATGCCGTCTCTCTGGAGGAGCCCCCCTTCTAAATGTAGCAGTCTTCGTTT